TTGACTAAGCTACAACTGAATTAATTAGCCATTCGCGGTTTCTTGGTTACTTTCAGAAATTGGCATACAACTGTTTCGGCGACGGACGAGGCATCGGCAAAAGTCTTTCGGCGCAATTTGCAAGCTGGTTTCGTTGAGAAGCACTGTCGTGAAGTCGGCGCGTTCTGCTGAAAAGCGCCGATTACTGATCGCCGAAAATAATGGTTGATCGGCGATCACTGATCGGCGAATGCTGTCAGGGGTGGTCGCCATGAAAGCTGCTTAGATTTCGGCGCAATTTGCCTGGCATCGGCAAACGTCTTTCGGCGCAATTTGCAAGCTGGTTTCGGCGAGAAGCACGGTCGTGAAGTCGGCGCGTCTCCTGGAAAGCGCCGATTACTGATCGCCGAAATTTATACCCGATCACTGACCCACGGGTCAGGTGAGCGGCCCACGGGTCGATCTCTTCACTACTCGGTGCGAACGTTTTCCTGTCTGAAGCGTATGGACCGGTCGCCGGGACTTCTCGGACATGTACGGCCAAGCCTGCCCGGTGAGCGAGTTCAGATTTTCGGATTTCTTTATCAGTGCAATATGCAATAAGAGTGTAAAATACATGATAAACAATCATCTTGGTTATTGCTTCGGTTTATAATCCCAGTGAGACTTGCGCTTCGGGCGGTCGTTTCTTGGTCTGTAGGCTCTCTTGGGCAGCATAGTACATTGGAGTATCGAAAGATTAGATCATGAGTATCGTGTAGGTTAGGATGAAAAGAGGAGATGGCAACGCTTCCGGTGCGCAGCCTGCTGCGAGGCGGCGAGTGGAAGGTTAGCGCTGCTTTCTTGAAAGCACTTCACGTTCTCTCTTCTTCTGTCCTTCGGAACGCTAACGATCGCCACTGTGCTGTCTTGTTTGCAGTTGATAATAACCCCGGGGAAGGAGAAGCAAGCGGTGTGCAGCCTGCTGCGAGGCAGCAAATGGAAGGTTAGCGCTCGTTTTCTTGGAAGCACTGCACGTTCTTTCTTCTTCTGTCTTTAAGAACGCTAACGATTGCCACTGTGCTGTCTTGTTTGCAGTTGATAGTAACCCCGGAGTAGGACAAGCAAGCGGTGCGCAGCCTGCTGCGAGGCGGCGAGTGGAAGGTTAGCGCTCCTTTCTTTAAAGCACTGCACGTGTTCTCTGAAATTAACTGCCACACTTCAGTGGAAGGTTAGCGTTCGTTTTCTTGGAAGCACTGCACGTCTCCTCTTCTTCTATTCTTCAGAACGCTAACGATTGCTCTGTGCTGTCTTGTTTGCAGTTGATGGTAATCCCGGGGTTGGACAAGTGTCATGACACAGCGCGTGTTTGTCATATCGTGTGGCTTAGAGTTGCCGTACGTGCTCGTCCAACCGTGTCTCGCGTATGCGATTTGTGGTCTATCTAGAGGATGTGATGATAGTGCCATTGCTTGAGTAAACGCTGGAAGTTGCGTGACTAGTGTGAGCGCTTGGCCATGGACATGATGTCATGCTTGCTGTGCGACTTGTCATTAGAAGAGACGCTATTTACCGCGATGTTTACATCTTGCTATTGTCTGTTGATTTGTCTATGATATCCTGACTACAGGGAAGGTGGGATATTTACGTGAGCTTTGCCGTACCGTATCGGCATGCTGGCAAGGGTGCGGAGACTCTCGGTGGAGTCACCTTTGCCAGCGCAGCTAGCGGAGAGAACTGAACTTCTTGCGTGTCTTTTGGCCGCCTAAAAGCGCCACTGATATCGCTGTGCGTGTAAAAGGACATCACAACCAATTGGCATCTACTCTCCAGTGTTTCCTCTCTACCCTCGCGCGGGAGCCTGGACAAGCACCCAGGACTACTCCCGTACTCCCAACCCACTCTGGCAAAGGTGAGTTCGGCGCGCGGACGGAGCGACTCCGAAGGGATTGGCTTGCATTGCTGCTGAGAGCACCTGCAGGCAATCCTGAGTCGACCGGCGCATGCCCACGTCCCGAGACGGGCGTGAAGATACGGTAGAGAGCCCACGTAGAGAAGAAGCCACAGGCGGTAGAGTTTCCGGAACCCCGCCGCCCATCCCATTAGCTGAACCTGTTTACCCTGAAGCTTCCGACGCGCGGACAACACGTGCTCTTGCTAGGGCCAACAGTAGAGTTACTGCCTTGCTAGAAGAGGAAGCCTTGCGTGAGGTCCGCCGACAGAAACGCACAGACCGGAGCCGTTCCGCATCTGAGACAGGAGATTCATCTGCCCCGGTTGTTGCCAACGCTCCGTGTGCAGGGACCGAAGAGCAAGGTCAAGACGCTGGTCCGAGCGCTGAACGTGACGCGTCGGACAACGTCGAGACTCGCCTCTCAGGTCCACCGGTAAGTGGCCTCAGCCAGCGTATTGGGTCTGGGCCCTCAGGGTCAGGCCAACGTCTCAGCCAGGTCGCCTCAGGAGAGGTTTTAGTGGTCCCAGGAGGGACGTTAGGAGCCCCAGGAGGGGACTTAGGCACAGCATCCCCAAGAGGGGCAGCCACAGCATCCCCAGGAGGGGCAGCCGCCGCAGCGCCAGCAGAGGCCTCGGCTCAAGGGACCTCAGGAGAGGTTGCAGCAAACCCAGGAGGGTCAGCCGCCGTAGCGCCAGCAGAGGCCTCGGTTCAAGGGACCTCAGGAGAGGTTGCTGGAGCAGCGGTCGCACCACCACCTCGCAATCCAATCATGTCGGAGCAACACTGGTGGCCGAGCTTTGTCCAGAGGACCGTGGAGAACTTCCCGCGGTTCGACGGCAAGCCCCAGAGTTGGCTGGCGTTCAAACGGGATGCCACGGCCGCCCTGGAGCTCGCGCAGGCAGCTCTGTCCACCCAGTGGCCCCAGCGACAAGTGGACCTCTACACGGTTGTTGCGCCCCGGATAGGCATGCTCAGAACCACCAGCGGGGCCCCAGACCTGAACTCGCCCGTCGCCACGTGGATGGATCAGCAGAAGGAAAACATCCGGCAGCAACACCAGGAAGGGTACACGTTGCTGGGCAGCGCCATCACCTACACAGGGCAGGGCTACACCACCGCAGCTGGGACCAAGGTCCCCGTGTTGTTGTGGTTCATGCTTGCCAAACTGGAGGCCCGTTTCCGCACGATGGATGTAGCAGCCGTTGATGAGCTTGAGAAGTTCAGGTTCCAGAAGGGGGAGGCGCCCCAGGAGGCGTACGACCGCTTCATCACCCTGAAGGAGCGCGCCCCAGCGGGCCGTTACACAGATCACACATTCGGGCAGTTCTTCCTCAAGGGGGTCTCGGACGACGAGATGGCTCGCTTCGTGAAGGGGGAGCTCCTGCGCAGCAACACGACACTATATGACGTGCTGCGCATCATGGAGTTAGCGCAGGCCTACCACAACTTTCCGGACCACCACGTGCGCTCCCAGCCCAAGCCCAGCGTGTCAGCCGCCACCACCACTGTGGAGGAACTGGCCCGCCAACTGAGCCAGCTCCGGCAGCAGATGGCCCAGTATCAGTCGATGGGCGTCACCGGCAACGCCAGCAACGGTGGGGGGGCCAGGGGGGGGGCGCAGCGGGATGCTGGCCACTCCTCCAGGCACCATCAGCGTGGGTTCGACAGGGGGGATGACACCGCCAGCGTCAGCTCCCGACTGCCACGGCAGAACCGTGATGGGGGCGGTGGCCACCGTGACGGCGCGGGGGGTCGCAGGCAGCCCCAGGAGCAGTCCGGCAACCGGCGCTTGTTTAGCAACTGGCGGGAGGAGATGAAGAGGCGCTTCCCCGACGCGCCCAAGGGCCAGGGGCCCTGCACGGTGCCGGGCTGCCCCTTTCCAGCCCACCATGGCGCCGAAGGGTGCTATGTTGACCTCAGCCGCAAGAACAACATCCCCATACCGCCGGGCCTCCTGAAGAAGCCGGCAGTCGTCGCCGCCGCCGCAGCAGCTGAGGACGTGCCGCTGGATGAGGCGCAGTTTTGTGGCGCCGTGACGCTGGCAGATCGCCAGTTTGCCTGGCTGGACGCCGTTCCCAGCCTGCCGCAGGAAACCCCAAGCAGCAACGGCAGCAGCCCTTCTGAGGTGCTGACCGCCGCAAGTGAGGTAGCAGAGCCGGCCCCAACGGGTGGCGTTCCCTCAGCTGTGGAGGAGCCTGACGACGTGCAGCGCGCCGCTGCCGCTCGTGAGCGCCTTCCTGCCGGCTTCCTGCAACGCCCTGTGCAGCCTAGCCAGCCAACCGCTCTCAACCGCTACGGCCTCCAGGAGATCGTCCTGGAGGTGACGGTGGGTGACGCCGTGCAGCGCATGCAGTGGCAGGGGTCGCAGGGCATCTCCCTACGACTGGAGGCCATCCCGACGAAGTGGGGGGCGGACACCTTTGGCCCGCTCGGACCACCCACAGCAGCCGCGACCACACCTGTCAGCTGCAGCTTCGGACCGTGTGAACCCATCCACGCGCCTGGGGTGCTGACGCTAAGCAAGTTCGCGCAGCTGACTAAGTCAGAGCGCATGGATGCCCTGCGCAGGTACCGTGAGAGCCCGGGAGCGCTGCAGTACGTGTCCTCGCAGCACTTTGCGGTGGGGAAGGGACAGCGCCTGGTGCGGCCCAAGCTCTCATTGGTCGACAGCGGCAGCGACGTGTGCCTGATAGCACAGCACGTGGCCGACAGCGGTGAGTTCACGGTAGAGCCTGATGCCCACGCAGTTGTGACCGTGGGGGGCCGCACTAGCCGTCTGGGTCGGGTCAAGGGGGGCCTGGAGGTCGTCCTGTGCCCCGGCACACCCTATGAACGCCGCAGCCGCCAGGAGGCCCTGGTCGTACAGGACGCAGTGGCTAGGGGATTGTTCGACTTCCTGTGGGGGCAGAGCAGCATGCATGCACTTGGGGTCTCCACCCTGAGCTTCCCCCAGCCGTCGGTGTCGTACATCCTCAACCTAGACTGCTGTGCTGACGAACCCCCGCAGACTGTCGTGCTGCCCACTGTCAACAAGGAGGAACCGGACGCCCCTGACGCTCAGGCGCGCCTCTGTGAGCTTGCCTCCGCCGTCCGTGCAACGTCGCAGCGGACACCCTCAGTCCTCATGACCCGCGCCGCCCAAGGGGACGCGACGGAGGAAGAGGAGCTGGACTATGACGATGAGCCGATGGATGAGCAGGGGGGAGAGGCCGAGGACGAGGATCTAGAACTGCTGTTGGCAGAACCCGCAGCTGACCCCGCAGCCGACCCTGCTGCTGCCGGCCCCTCCCAGCCCAGCCGGCCAGCAGTGCCCTCGCCCCCACCAGCTGTACGGACGCCTGCCGCCAACGCGGGCGCCGCCACCTCAGGAGGCAACCGGCGGCAGGGCCCCCAGCAGGAGCCCGCCCAACAGCGTCAGGACGCCCTGGACCTTAGCCACATCCAGGACGCCAAGCGCCGAGCCCTCCTGCAACAGAATGCGGGCCCCATGTTAGCGGCTCACAAGGCTGACCACCGGGAGGGGTTCCTGAGGAGAGGCAGGGTCCTGTACCCCGACATGCCGAAGGGCACGGGCCCTTGCCAACACCCGGGGTGCCGCCAGCGACAGCACCACAGCACGGAGAACTGCTACCTCAGGCACCTGCAGCGTGAGATCAGCGGAACCCCCAGCTCGCCGCCCCATGAGGACGACCGCGACCGCTCCCGAGAACGCTCACGTGAGCGCCAGCGGCGCAGCTCCAGGGAGCGCTCACGTGAACGTCAACGACGCAGCTCTCGAGAGCGCAGACCGCCGACGCCGCCACCGAGGTACAGGGACCGCTCGCCCCCGCGAGAGTGCCAGCAGCATGCGCGGGGTCACCCCTGGGGGCAGGCGCCGCCCGGAAGGGGTCCCCCAGTGCTCACGCAGGCAGCAGGATCGGCAAGTGTCTTCGGGCGCCTGCAAGCGTACCAGCACGGCACCCAGCAACGGACGCTGCTCAGCTTTGCCCAGGACCTCTCTGCCGCGCCCGTCATCACCGTGGGGTCCAAGCCCTCTATGGACAGGGAGCTGGAACGTCGCACGCCCCCACATGTGGCCTTCGACACGGGCTGCAGCTTCCTTGGTGCCGTGGATCACGCCTGGGTGGAGCACGCCCGGGTGCCGTTCGTACGGGAGCCCATGCCTGTGCAGGTGGCAGGCAGCTCGACCTACGCAGTAGGCTACGTACCCAACGGCGCCATCAGCCTCTTCGATGGGCGCCGCCCCCACGACTTCTATGGGGACCTGCTGGTGTTCTCGAATCTGCCAGCCGCGGTCGTGATAGGGCGGGCGTTCCTGGACGCTACCAACGGCCGCATCACGTGTGGGCCCCACGCGTTAGTCGAACTGCTCCCACCGGGCGCCAACCAGTGGGTGACGCGCCCGCTGCACTCGTACGAGGCAACTCGACCCACGCTCATGCTGATGGAGACGCCGCAACCCTCCGTCAGCCCCAGCCAGCGCAGAGCAACCCCAGCGAGGAGCACTGACCCTTGGGTCACCTCACTGGCCGTCACCCCGCAGCACTTGGCGGCCCAGCAGTGGGCCGCCGACATCCCGCTGCCACCGGATGCCGGTGAGGGGCTGGATGCTGGGGAGGAGGACGACGACCCGCCCGGCATGGCAGATGAGATTGAGGCCCTCCGGCAGCACCAGGAGCCGTGGGACTCACTTGCGTGGAAGCGCAGCTGGGAACGGACCCTTGCGCGCCGCCTGAAGCGGCGGCACCTCAAGAAGCTGCGGAAGGAGAAGCTGCGGCAGAGCGCAGCCAAGGAGGCTGCGGCTGCGCAGGCTGCACGGCTGCGGAAGGAGGCAGTCAGCTCCTACAAAAAGAAGCTGCGTGCGCTCAGGGCAGGCCTCCCGCTGTCGCAGGAGCGACAGGAGGAGCAGGTACGTGAGCCAGGTCGCAATTGGGGTGGTTGGTGGCGTGAGAAACGCGAGGCGATGCCGTCGCCCGCAGCATGGGGCAAGGGGACGGCCAGGGCGGTTCGGTCGCTAGGGCCACTGCTCACGCTCATGCTAGTCGCCTGGTGTGTCAACCAGGGCAGCTCACCGCCGCACAGACCACTTTCCACGCAGTATGAGGCAGAACCCCTTGGCGGGGTGCTCACACCCCTACCACCTGCCGTTATCCTGCAACGTGCGTACCATACCCTCACGATCGCGCACGACAAGACCGCGCAGCCCGCAGCCTTGGCTACTGACTCACCCGCACACCTCACGGCCCCGGACGGCCTGCGTCACCCTGCACATGCCTCGACCCTGCAGAGAGACGAGACCGGAGGCTACTACTGGTGCAACCGTCCGGACATAACCCCGCAGCAACGACAGCAGCTGCAGGAGCTGGTCCGGGCCAATGATCAGGTGTTTGCCCGCTCCCTGAAGGAGCTGGGCTGCTACAACGGTGAGTGCGGGCCAGCAACCATACACCTCTCGCACAGTAGGCCCATCTATGAGCCCCCCAGACGGTACTCCCACAAGGAGTATGAGCTCATGGATGAGAAGTGCGCAGAGCTTAGGGACGCAGGCATCATAGAACCGTCAACCAGCTCGCAGTATGCAATGAACAGCACCATGCCGGTTAAGAAGGCGGCAGATGGGTCCTGGACTGAGCGGCGCTATTGCCTGGATGCAAGAGCCTTAAACGCCGCCACCACTCCTGACCTCTACCGGCCTCCCAACCCGGAAGAGCTGTTTGAACGCATAGGGCCTGCACGCTGGTTCACAAAGTGTGATTGCCGTGCCGCATTCAATCAGATCCCCTTGCGCCAAGAAGATAGGCAGAAAACCTCCTTTTGGTGGCGCAACTCGTTGTGGCAGTACACTAGGACACTGTACGGCTTGCGCAATGCCACGGCTCAGTTTCAGCGCATGATGGACACGGAGATCCGCAAGGCGGGCCTCGGGCACTGCTGTGTTGCTTTCGTGGATGATCTGTTGATCTTCTCAAACTCCGCAGAAGAACACATTCAGCATGTACGGCTGGTGCTGGAGATGCTGAAGCGCATTAACGTGCGGCTGCACCCGGACAAGACCGTCTTCGCAGCGGATTCGGTGGAGTTCCTTGGCCACATGGTGAGTGCGGACGGGTTACGACCCATGCAAGCGAAAATAGCAGCGATACAAGCGCTTAAGCCGCCCACGAATGCGACCGAGCTGTTGAGCGTGTTAGGGCTCTGCAACTACTACCGGTGCTACCTACCCCGGTACAGTGAGTTGGCAGCACCGCTCACCAGGCTCACGACCAAGTCCACCATCTGGAACAGTGAAACCTGGAAACCAGAACACCAGGCCGCATTTGACAACCTTAAGCGCCGCTTTGCAGAACCAGGCCTCCTCCTACGTAGGATGGACCCCATGCGCCCGTGCATCTTACACACTGACTTCAGCACGTTAGGGGTTAGTGCCGTCTTAGGGCAGCTAGATGACGATGGAAACGAGTATATGGTGGCATGCGCCTCCCGTTCGCTAAACGAACACGAACGCAACTATACGTCGTACAAGGGGGAAATGCTGGCAGCATGCTGGGGCATGAAAATCATGCGCCCATACCTCCTTGGGGCCTCCTTCGTCCTAGTAACCGACCATGCGCCTCTGCTATGGCTCATGGAAAACAAGGCCCTGACAGGACAGTACGCGCGTTGGGCACTCACCATGCAGGAGTACACCTTTGACGTAGCTCATAGGCCGGGAAAGTTGCACAACAATGCAGACGCGCTGAGCCGCAGCCCGTTGCCAACCACTGAGGATGGAACGGGTGCTCGCATGGATGACGACTCAGATCCCGTGCCCCAGCCGCCAAAGTTAGTACCCCACCCAGCTAGAGTAACCGCAGGAGCGCCGCTAGTTACCGGGTCGGTGGCCATGCTGCAGACGGTCACGGATGTCATAGCCCTGAAGTCGCGAATGCAGCTGGATAAGCACCACGCCGTGATGGCCGCAGCTGCCGAGGAAAACACAATCGCCTCGGTTCTGGCGCCCACGGCAACCGACCTGCTGTCCGGAGGCAATGGAGTCGCCTCTGACAGCGCTGAACAACCGGCGGTAGATGGACTCACCAAGGCGCAGGAGCGCACTGGTGCGTTGAAGCGGGGGGCTCACAAACTGGCTAGGGAACAGCGTCATGCTCTTAGGGGGATTGCAGCACATGCGCCAAGACCACAAACGGTGTTGGGGACTCAGGAAGAACCAGGAGACACAGTCTCGCTGAACACCACTCTAGTGTCCCATCACTTTTTAGACCGCGCGCACACCGAAGGCCTAGTTGTACTGGAGTACGGCGGGGGCCATGCCGCTGGGCTGGAAGCAGTCCTGCGGGCTGGATGGCGTGTACGTCGCTATCTCGTACACGGCCACACACCCGACCAGCAAATCATAGTTAGGCACCGCTTAGCCTTACTGCGTGCTGAGTACCCCGAACAGCTGATGGCAAGAGCCATCAACCACGTGTTCCATTGGCCACCCTCCGCACGACTGGGAGAAGCAGATCTTAAAGGCGTAGCAGCAGACAAGGGCGAGCAGTGGATGGTCACGGCAAGCCTTGTGGATGCCAAACCGGAGGACGTGCACGGCGTGAGAAACCTACTAGGTGCCCTGCAACGTCTTCAGCCTCGCATGCCACCTGCCTACGTCATTGAAGCTCAGCCAGGCATGCAGTGGGCAGACTCGTTTGGCCCCACCTTGCTGGTTGACACTGCTCAGCTGGGTCAGGCCAGGCACGCACTCATGGTGTATCATACCAACCTGGCTGACACTCAACACCTTCACAGCATAGCTAAAACACATGGTCAGGTGACTCAAGGCATGCACGACCTACGGCTCTGCCTGGAGGTGGCACAAGGACAGTTGCCCGTTGCGCAGAAAGCGGAGGAAAGCCCCCACTTTCCACGCAACACACCCGGCAAACCCTGTGCTGTCGTACCTCCAGGAGACCTGTGGAGCACTAGAGTGAGCCTACCTGAATCCACTGGTAACATCACCAAACGACCGCTCCGCATCAGTGAGCTTGAAAGAGTGCTAGGTTACGGGTCAGGGACAACGGCCGCCAAGGGTGCAACGGATGACCTGAGAAAGGAAGCCTTACGCAGCGGGATAGCCACGCCGGTGGTATCTCATCTAGCAGCGTGGGCTGAAGCCCTGCACAAAGCCTACATTACCCCGCACCACATGGCAACTCTCCAGCCACGGTGGGCACATGATGACTTAGCTACGGCCTCCCAGCTGGGGGGGAGTGGTGAGTCACTGGAAGCTGGGCTGCCTACGCTTGGGCTCAGCCTGATCATGCTCACAGCCAGTGACGTCAGCTTGTATGAGTGCACCCAGCATGCGGCAGCTGTAGCTGAGCTCCTGGATGCACAGCCAACCAACCTGTCGGATGTGTGGGATGACGCGAATACCCTGCACTACCTTCGCAACATGGCCGCCCCAGAGGGCGTGGATGCCGTGGAGCTGAAGAGGGTGTTGCGTCGGGCACGATCTTACCGCTTCCAGGGGCAGGAACTGCTTAGGCTGATGGCCAATAGCTCAACTCGCATCTGCCCTCCGCCTGAGCAGCGGGAGGCGCTGATTGAGCAAAGCCACCGGCGCCTGGGCCATTTTGGAATGCGCCGTACCGCGGGCTTGATCAAACTGAGCTATTGGTGGAGTGGCATGCATGCTGACGTTTCCTCAGTGGTGTCAAGGTGCAAGCTCTGCGACAGGGCAAACACCACTGGCAACGTGCGTCCTGAGGAGCTGCAGCCTTTGCCCATCAAGGGACCCATGTATCGTTGGGGTGTGGACCTGTGTGGGCCATTCCCTGAGACAGCACGTGGAGACAGGTACGTGATGGTGGCGATTGAGCACTTCAGCAAACACATTGAGTTGATTCCGTTGCCCGACAAGACAGCGAAGAGCACGGCGCAGGCCTTCCTATCGAATGTCCTAGCCCGTTTCTCTGCACCTGCCGAGGTCTTGACTGATAGGGGCGCGGAATGGCAGGGGGAGTTCGCAGCGCTCTTGGAGCAGTGCGCCATTGATCACCGTGAAACGTCCGCTGAGCACCCCCAGACCGATGGGGCAGCAGAGCGGATTGTGCAGGTGGTCAAGCGAGGCTTGCGAAAGTACTGCGCGCAGGAGGGTAGGGCTCAAGCATGGGATGAGTTCCTGCCATGGATGGCACTGGGCTACCGTTGCTCTCCTCAGGCGTCCACACGAATGACGCCGTACTTTCTGCTGTACGGGGTGGATCCTGTGGTGCCGCCTGCAGTGCGTGAGAGGTTCGCGGAGCCCCTGGACCCGACCAACGAACAGGAGTTCAAACGTTTCCTTCAGGTTAGGGGGGAGGCACTTAGGCACGCGATCCCTGCCGCAGCTGGAAACCTCTTGATTGCCCAGCACCGTGATTGCTATCAGTACGCTAGGAAGCGCGCCGGGGGATACAAGCCACGGTTCGAACGGTTTGAACCTGGGGACTACGTGTACGTGATGCTGAACAACACGAACAGCACGCTGCAGATGCCGGTGCGGGAGAATGTGCTGCGAGTCGTCTCAGTGGATCCCAACGGTGTAGCTACGTTGGTGGGCCGCTGTGGGACCGAGCGCAAGGAGCATGTGACACGGCTTGCGCCCTGTCATCTGCCTGACCTGGATCCTATCGTAGACCCACGCATTGCTGTGCCGCCCTTGGACCTGGAGTGCGAAATCTGTGGCTTCCCGGACCAGCCGAGCAAGATGTTGCTTTGTGACTCGTGCGGTTCCGGGTGGCACATGCACTGCCTGAAGCCAGCCGTCAAGAAGGTGCCCAAGGGGACCTGGATTTGCCCGGATTGCGTCGAGCAAGGAGTGACCCCGCAGCAGATTGACGCCAAGCCGCTGGTACCCGCACCTGCTCCCGCTCCCCAACTGTTCCCTTCCGCCAGGCAGAGGAGGCGCGCCAAGGCCGCTGAGGCGCTCCAGGGGCGCGTCTTGAGGAGGTCAGTCAAGGATCCGAAGACGCTCTGCCTGAGGGAGGAGATAGGCGTGATCAACGGGGAGGAGGTCCAGGAGGACTACGCTGGAGTGATGGTGGAGTACGGGGGAGGAGCTTTTGAGCGAATGAACGTCAGCGTGGCGCAGCAGCTGCTTCTGGACGAGGAGTCAGCCTGGGGCGCAGCCCGCACCCTCCGTACTGTGGCAACTACCCGTGCTGCACGGCTCCCGGATAACTGGGACTTAACTTCGCGTGAGGGGCTGAGTGCGGCGATGGGGGAGCTCATGCCGGGGGCTTACAGTGATCGCCACCTGGGCAGGTTGGTTAACCGTGTGCCAGGGGGCAAGCAGTTTCAGTATGAGTGTGTACCCACGGGGATTGAGGAGGTGAGGCCTTTGCTGGAGAGCATTCGTTTTGATGAGTGTGCGGGCATCTTCGACCCGTGGTGTGGAACAGGTGGGGTCGCCAGGGCGTTTCGCGAGGCGGGACACTCGGTCTTTGGCAATGACGCCAACCCTGCTTGCGTTGCTCACATGCACCGTGACGCGTTGCAGCCTGGCACGTACCGTGAGGCTATGAAGGTCTATTCCTACGAGGCCATTGTTGCGTCTCCTTGGTTTGCGGTGCTTGATGTTGCACTGCCGTTGGCTACCCGTTTTGCACCTGTCGTTGCGTTTCACGTGCCGGGGCACTACGTGACGGATGCTACGGCGGCTCGGACCAAGTACCTGGCGAAGCTGCAGGAGGAAGGACGGCTTGCGTTGTTGCTGGGACTGCCAAGAGGGCCGATGGGGAGGCGGTGTGTGTGGGTTTGCGTGTTTGCCACTCGCGAGTGGCGGGAGAGGATGTTGAAACCGGTTGTAGGACGAAATGAGGTCTGGTTGCTGAAGTGAAGTAGGCGCGTGTTGAAGGGGATGCAGAGGTTGCTGTGCTACTTTGCTGTCAGTTCTGGTGCGCTGTGTTTGTGTGTTGCTTGTGGCCGCTGTAGACAGCTTCCGACCTCCGGGTTCTCAGCTGGGGGGGGAGTTGTACTGTCGGGCCTCCGTCGCAACAGCACGTGATACGTCATGACAGCTGTCATGACACAGCGCGTGTTTGTCATATCGTGTGGCTTAGAGTTGCCGTACGTGCTCGTCCAACCGTGTCTCGCGTATGCGATTTGTGGTCTATCTAGAGGATGTGATGATAGTGCCATTGCTTGAGTAAACGCTGGAAGTTGCGTGACTAGTGTGAGCGCTTGGCCATGGACATGATGTCATGCTTGCTGTGCGACTTGTCATTAGAAGAGACGCTATTTACCGCGATGTTTACATCTTGCTATTGTCTGTTGATTTGTCTATGATATCCTGACTACAGGGAAGGTGGGATATTTACGTGAGCTTTGCCGTACCGTATCGGCATGCTGGCAAGGGTGCGGAGACTCTCGGTGGAGTCACCTTTGCCAGCGCAGCTAGCGGAGAGAACTGAACTTCTTGCGTGTCTTTTGGCCGCCTAAAAGCGCCACTGATATCGCTGTGCGTGTAAAAGGACATCACAACCAATTGGCATCTACTCTCCAGTGTTTCCTCTCTACCCTCGCGCGGGAGCCTGGACAAGCACCCAGGACTACTCCCGTACTCCCAACCCACTAGTTGTACTGTCGGGCCTCCGTCGCAACAGCACGTGATACGTCATGACACAAGCAAGCGGGTCTACTGGCGCGAGGACTTCGCGTATAGGTGGTATTGGAGGCGGTTGGTTGTCGCACCTTGTCGGCGCCCGACAAACCGGAGGCGGGAATGCTGTCATTGACGGCCGGAGGAGTTGTTCGCCATTGCCTGAAGGAGGTGAGTAGAATGTTCTGTTGGGACACTGCCAATACGTCACCTGTGCAAAGCGTTTCGTTAATACCTGTACTGAGCTGTTCCATCTGGCGGGACACCCTTGACGTTCCCATTCCCAACATGCCATGTGTGATGATCACCTTGTGTGATATCCTCGCCGATTCACCTGTGCAGGCGGTGTGTCAGCGGACAGGCGAGCTGGAGAGCGTGAGACGGCGCCGTCTCGCCTTCCAGGCCTGACTGGGAACTGGCTATCGCAATTCAGCGGAACGCACCTGGCCAGTCGTAATGAGGACCTTGGACTGTCGTCAGCAGCGCAACGTAAGTCCGTCTGTGACCGTAAATCCCCCCGTAACGAAGTGGAGGGGAGGATTGGAGGACAGATCACCGCTAAAGATTCTCTGTCCGTCTGTGACCGTAAATCCCCCCGTAACGAAGTGAAGGGGAGGATTGGAGGACAGATCACCGCTAAAGATTCTCCGTCTGTGACCGTAAATCCCCCCGTAACGAAGTGGAGGGGAGGATTGGAGGACAGATCACCGCTAAAGTTCGTGACCGTAAATCCCCCCGTAACGAAGTGGAGGGGAGGATTGGAGGACAGTCGGTCGAAATTTTGTCCGTCCGTCTGTTCGGAATTTCATGGCAACCTCCTCATGTCGTACATTCTTATGGTCGTTGTTGATCTAGCCAGAGGTCTCCGGTTCGAGCCAGGTGGCGACCTCTTGGCGACTTCCTGGGCACCCTTGGAGATGATGCCTGGGCCTGTGGGGATGGTGTTCTGAGAGATCTGACCGTAAATCCCCCCGTAACGAAGTGGAGGGGAGGATTGGAGGACAGTCGGTCGAAATTTTGTCCGTCCGTCTGTTCGGAATTTCATGGCAACCTCCTCATGTCGTACATTCTTATGGTCGTTGTTGATCTAGCCAGAGGTCTCCGGTTCGAGCCAGGTGGCGACCTCTTGGCGACTTCCTGGGCACCCTTGGAGATGATGCCTGGGCCTGTGGGGATGGTGTTCTGAGAGATCTGACCGTAAATCCCCCCGTAACGAAGTGGAGGGGAGGATTGGAGGACAGTCGGTCGAAATTTTGTCCGTCCGTCTGTTCGGAATTTCATGGCAACCTCCTCATGTCGTACATTCTTATGGTCGTTGTTGATCTAGCCAGAGGTCTCCGGTTCGAGCCAGGTGGCGACCTCTTGGCGACTTCCTGGGCACCCTTGGAGATGATGCCTGGGCCTGTGGGGATGGTGTTCTGAGAGATCTCGAGTACGACAACACACTGTACGGCAGCAAACTGTACGGCACAGTTGCCGTACTGTGTGATAAGACGTCATGTGGTGTACGACATGTACGGCAACTGTACGGCAGTGTACGACAACGTCGTACGGCAGCTGTCGTACACTTGTACGGCATCTGTACGGCATGTGTTTTGACACGGCCTCCCACCCCCCTCCTCCCCCTCTTCTCCCCTCGTCGCCTACACGTCACCCCAGCCCTCCTTGTCATTCCTGGCACCATCCCCCCCTCGCCACAACAACTGGCAGTACAGTACGGCTTGGGTTTTGACACGGCCTCCCACCCCCCTCCTCCCCCTCTTCTCCCCTCGTCGCCTATACGTCACCCCGACCCTGCCTGTGACTCCTGGCACCATGTCCCCCCTCGCCACAACAACTGGCGGTACAATACGGGTTGGGTTATGACACGGTCTCCGACCCCCCTCCGTGCTCCCCACCCCCCGCCCCACCCTTTCACCACCCCGTCATCACTCGTGCTCTTCTGACCAATGCCGCAGCATTACCCTCTCAACTGCTGTACGGTACGGTGTGGGTTATGACACGATCTGCCACCCCCCTCCATTCTCCCCACCCCCCTCACCACCCCCTCAGCGTTCTAGCTTTGCTGAGCCGCTCTGGCAGTGTCTCAGTTTCACCATCTCACCTTGTCGTACAGTACGGCATGGTGTGACGCCAAAAGAGCGTCCATGCCATAGTACAATACGTACATGTCGTAGGACAATGCGTAAATGTCATAAGACAATGCGTCTAACACAATGCGTTATGGAAGAATACTGTCTCGTTGCCGGAGATCTGTCTGCGTTATGGAAGAATACGTTGAATATGGAAGAATACGTTGAATACGTTGAATAACTGAAATACGTTGAATATATAATACAACTGAAATACGTTGAATACGTTGAATATGGAAGAATACGTTGAATAACTATGCGTAGGGCGACGATGCGTGGGAACAATGCGTAAGGAAACAATGCGTAGGGTAACGATGCGTAGGGCAACAATGCGTGGGGCAGCAATGCGTTGAGCGAGAAGGCGTAGGGCGAGAAGGCATAGGATGACAATGCGTTGGGCGACAACGTGTAGGGCGAGGATGCGAAGGGGCAACAACGCGTAAGAACAATGCGTAGGGAAACGATGCGTTTTTGGGTAACAATGCGTTATGGAAGATTACGTTGGATAACGATGCGTACGGCTTCGATGCGTAGGAACGATGTGTAGGAAACAATGCGTAGGGTAGCGATGCGTAGGGCAACAATGCGTACGGCAACAATGCGTAGGGCGAGAAGGCGTGATAATGCGTAGGGTGACAATCCGTAGGGCGAGAATGCGTAGGGTGAGAACGTGCTGGGCAATGATGCGTAGGGCGGTAACAACAATGCATAGGGAAATAATGTGTTTTGGGGTGACGATGCGTTATCGATTAATATGTTGAATCACAATGCGTAGGGCAACGATGCGTAAGGCAACGATGCGTAGGGCAACGATGCGTAGGGTAACAATGCGTAGGGCGAGTAGACGTAACAATCTGTAATCCAACAATGCGTAGGGCGATAACGCGTAGGGCGACGATGCATTGGGTTCTAATGCGTAGGGCGACAATGCGTACAAGCCAACGATGTGTAAGAACAATGCGTAGGAAAACAATGCGTAAGAACATTATGATGCCTGGATTGGGGATGATGCCTGGGCCTGTGGGGATAGTGTTTGGCGTAGTCGGCCAGGCACGGCTTGAGCTGGAGCGGCTGGAGAACGGCGTCGCAAACGAGTTCGTCCTGGGGAGAGAGTGGGCGCAGAACATGGCTCGGCTCGGAATGGACCACGTAATCGCACAGTTGCTATGCGTTTGACGCCCAATCAGACCCGTGGGTCTGTTATGTTACTTCAAAACCAGGTGTTGTCGCCGCTTGTTCGGCCATGACGTTCGTGAACGTTTTCAATTTAACACTGTTCCCTGCTTATTGTTGCAGCTCGCCAGTGTGTGCGCCTAGCGTTGTTTTGGCCGGTTGTTGCTCGGTTTACCAACCGACAACGACACACTCGCAAGGACTGGTGCACTACTTGTGCACTGTGGGTTCGACTCCCACGCGAGTGCCAAAAAACACGCCACAAGACATAACCGGCATTACGGGGCCACCAAGGGATTTACGGTACCCCCGGCCGCGGCAACGACGCGGCACTATCTGTCTGTCCGTCCGTCTGTCTGTCTGTTCACAAAAGTGGTGGCAACGACCTTCCGGCGCTAAGCGTTCAGTCCTATCCTCAGCCAGCCAGAGGTCTCCAGTTCGAGCCGGGTAGCGACCTCTTTGCGACTTCCTCGGCACCCTTGGAGATGATGCCTGGGCCTATGGGGATGGTGTTTTGGGAGATCTCGAGTACGACAACACACTGTAGTACGGCAACGCAGTACGGCACGGGTTTCGACACGCCCTCCCACCCCCCTCCATGCTCCCCACTCCCCTCACCACCCCCTCGCCCCTCTAGCACCCCTGAACGCCCCTGCATCACCGTGAGGTGTACGGCAACGCAGTACGGCACGGGTTTCGACACGCCCTCCCACCCCCCTCCATGCTCCCCACTCCCCTCACCTCCCCCTCGCCCCTCCAGCACCCCTGAACGCCCCTGCATCACCGTGAGATGTACGGCAACGCAGTACGGCACGGGTTTCGACACGCCCTCCCACCCCCTCCATGCTCACCACTCCCCTCACCACCCCCTCGCCCCTCCAGCACCTCTGAACGCCCCTGCATCACCGTGAGGTGTACGGCAACGCAGTACGGCATGGGTTTCGACACGCCCTCCCACCCCCCTCCATGCTCCCCACTCCCCTCACCTCCCCCTCGCCCCTCCAGCACCCCTGAACGCCCCTGCATCACCGTGAGGTGTACGGCAACGCAGTACGGCATGGGTTTCGACACGCCCTCCCACCCCCCTCCATGCTCCCCACTCCCCTCACCTCCCCCTCGCCCCTCCAGCACCTCTGAACGCCCCTGCATCACCGTGAGGTGTACGGCAACGCAGTACGGCATGGGTTTCGACACGCCCTCCCACCCCCCTCCATGCTCCCCACTTCCCTCACCTCCCCCTCGCCCCTCCAGCACCCCTGAACGCCCCTGCATCACCGTGAGGTGTACGGCAACGCAGTACGGCACGGGTTTCGACACGCCCTCCCACCCCCCTCCATGCTCCCCACTCCCCTCACCACCCCCTCGCCCCTCCAGCACCCCTGAACGCCCTGCATCACCGTGAGATGTACGGCAACGCAGTACGGCACGGGTTTCGACACGCCCTCCCACCCCCCTCCATGCTCCCCACTCCCCTCACCACCCCCTCGCCCCTCCAGCAC